CTGTTGAAGGCCTCCATGATGCCATAAGAAGCTTGATCGTCCCGCAGGCCCGGCACGCCGAGATGCCCGTCGGAGCCCTGCTGCGTGGGTAGGCCATAGAAGTCGCTGGCGCCGGAGATGTCGATACCAGCGGCGGCAGGCGAGCTATCCTGATGATTAGGCTGCGGGTTATCCTGGCCCGATAGCGAGAAACCCAGCCAGTTGTTCGCGGAAGCCATCTAAGAAGGGTGTGGTGGTGTGATAGAACAGTGAGGGTTTGTTTTGCTTGCGATCAGAGCGGGGATAGCATTGGTGACGACGAGAGGAGATGTAAGGAGAAGCTGATAGGGGGAAGGAGGTATATCTTTCCACCAGGGATAGCACAACACATGTTGGGTCAATGTGAAGAGGGCAGGAAGAAGGGGCCAGAAAAAATATCCTGGCCACCTGAGAGGAGGTGAAAGTGTTGTACAAGGCATGTATTTATAAGAGAAGTTAAGAACAGAGTAGTCCCGGTTTAATGCTTCTTAGTGAAGGATAAACAGTTCAAGGAAAAAGGGCGTAAGATCTTGTCAAATGTTTTTTTAACAAAAAAATGTTAGTACACTCAAGAGTGGAGAAAAATGTAATTAATGAAAGTTTTCGAGCACATGGAGGTTATTTTGATTTGAGTACAATTTGCTTTTCAGTTGACCACAAGCATGTATAAGTCCTATTTTTAATTAGTAAAGTGGACCATAAAGTTTTTTTTCCTTTTCATTTTCATGGAGGAAAGTGCGTGGACCCACGTTGTGATCAGTCAGCACATCATCCTCTCTAGATTTAAGGTTCACCAAAAATTACAAACCCCAAAAAATTCAGGCAACTAATAGGTTGCTGTACGTGCTACAAACTGAAAGGTTAACCTGCCCCGTGGCTCTTGAACTGCATGCATTGCCAACTCTAGATGTTCATACCAAGGGTGCTTTCACATCTAGCACTGTAAGTTAAACCATTACTCTTTGGTATTATTAATTAACGGTCCATACATATCCTTTATCCATTTCGCCGCTACATACAGTCTGAAAAGAAAGCTGACTCGATCGGAACATACAGAGAGAACAGGATCAGATCGATCAGGGGACGAAGCCGATCGATCAGCCTGCAGTTTAAAAACGCGCCCAGCATTTCCTTGGATCTCAATCAATCGGAAAAAGCAGCAGCAGCATGCGATAGGTGTGTGCACGCGCCAACCGTGTGCGCGGTGCGCCGACGCGTGCATGCATGCGCGCGCGACGGCAGCAGGTACTGTGCGGACGGTTCGTCCCGTCCAACGACGGCGAATCCAGCGAAAGATTCCCGTAAAAAAAAGAAGGGCTCGCGCTCGCCGCGGCGCGGTCAAACCAGCCCCCCGCACGCACACCTGTGGAAGCCGGAAGCTAGTAGCCGATCGATCTCTGACATGTCGTGGCGACGCGAGCCGCGGCATGCGCGGCCGTCCGCCGGCCCGCGCGTGCGCCTCCGAGTTCCAACCCGCCCGCCACTAATAGGGCACAAGGCTACGCGCGCGGCAGCGGCGGCAGCCTAGGCTTGCCCGCTTTATAATATTCGGCGGGGGCTGGTGCTTTCGAGGTGAATCGCTGGATTGGACTACTGGTATGTATGACCTGCTTGGACGACTGACCAAATTGAACCCCGCATTTTGGAGATCAGTTTCTGGTTTTTGCAGCGGGCGTGCCTGAAGCCAACCAATGCCAGTGTAGCTGAGCTGAATGTTCTCGTATGTAATGTACGTATGCGTGTTCTCGAACACTTCATCACTTTTGTGAGTGAAGAGTTCGTTCACTGTACTGCTAGCTGCTAGTACTAGCGTTGATGTTCTTGAGAAGTAGAGATCGTCTTCCAGCAGAGCAGTTCCAGAGTTGTCCTGCGAGAAATCAACAGCTTTGTTTCAGAGCGCAGTGATAGACAAAGACTCAAAGATTTGGTGGTTTATTATTAGCTTTTCGACGAATTGCGCCAGTGCAGACACGTCAAATCACCTAGCTACTCCTACTTGCTATATTCTGAAAATGCAAGACTGAATGAAACTGCAAGTGTCAGTATGTATAGCTAGTGTGAAGGCTCACTCTCTGCGTGCCTTCTCTGGTCACAGATATATATTCTAATGCGTTCTACAGTTATCTTTTCTTGATCATTCCTTGGTACCATAATCAAATGATCCAGACCCACGGTCTTCCCCGCATCAGTCGGGAGCGAGCCCTCTCTCTCTCTCTCTCTCCGTATCGAGAAGCGCCCATCCAGCCCCAAAGAGCGAGAAAGGTTGAGCTTAAAGAAAGGTCACGGTGACTCCGAATAGAGTAGGGGCGCTGGGGTTGCAAGCTGTGCCCTCTACGAGGACACACACCCTTGTCTTCCGGGCACACTAGGGGAGGAGGAGGATCGTACCGTAACAGTGCTGCTGCACGCACCGGAGGAGTGCCCTAAACGTCTCTGCGAACATGCCTAATGCCTCGCTCAGGACCGTCCTCTCCGATCCTGCAGATCCCTCACGGGCCATGCATGTGCAGTTTTCCCAGGACCAGACAGGGATAGATTACACGCGGAGAAGAAATATGCATGTCAAAGCAATTAGGTAGCACAGGTCGGCTACTACAGTGGAATAGTAGGTTGGTAGCTAGCTAGCTAAGCTAGGGTGAACTCCGTAACAAGCCTTTGAGTTAGGGTGAAACAAACGCGAGCACATGTGTACAAGCATGTGTAGCATCATGATACATACATATGAGTGTATATACATATATACCTGCTTGTAATCTATTAAGATCACATAATCCAGCCATCATCGAGATATGCATGGCCATCAATTTGTGCCAGAGAGTATGCAATTTACATGCAATTTGCCGTCATCCTACATGTTACACATGCATGCAGATCATCAACTAGCTAGCACGCTTTTCCGCAAGCCCATGAGTGAAAACAGTCTGTACATCTACACGCAACACCTGCGCCAAACATGCTTCCACATATATATCGATCTCACCAGTGAGATCACATTATTGTAAATATATCTCCACCACACGCAGCACGGAGAGCAACTTGCTTGTCAGCAGGCTGGCTATAGTCCTGCCCTGCTACCGCGACTCTCGCATGCATGCCCTGGCCGGCCGGCCTGGCGCCCTGCCCCCGTCCGAAAATGTCGGTCCTCGCCCTTCACCTAGCTATTCTCTGCAAGCGGGCCAGTGCCAGTGCATCCCACACAGGCAGAGGCAGCCGTTGGTGTTTTCCACGGTGCACGTGAGGCGCCGTGTAGCTTCCCCATGCACAGCACCGCTGCACTATGCATGGGATCCTCCTCGGCCGCGCGCGCCAGCCACGGAGCCACCACCTCCTCCTCCACCCAGCAGGGTAGCTAGGTAGCGCATCAGTACGTACAGGCGGCCACGAGCGGCGTATTGATCCTGGGATAGAATATTGGCGTCCGGACCGGTCCTGCGCTCGGTTCCCGTGCTTTCTGCCCAAGCGCGCTTTGACCGTCAAAGCGCGCGGAGCCGGCCGGGGTGTGTCCAGGCGGCCGGGCTGGCGGGACGGGGCGGGCGGGCGGCGCTAGCCAAGCAGAGGCTGCCTGCCTGATGTACTACTGATCAAAAGGGGGGCGGTGAAAAGTGAAACACATGCCGTTGAACGGGCGGGGTTAATCTCTGGCTCTGGGAAGCTGTCGAAGAACACGCTTAATCAAAAATACGGGGCGCTCCGTCCAGGGGGTGAGACAAAAAGGTGAAAGGACGACCACAACCTCTGCTACCATCTGTTACGTCTTGCTCTCGCAGCAGCTGCTGCTACCAGTTTTCAACAATCTCTGCTGCTAGGCGCATGTGCATGCATGCAGCTCGTCCCGTCCCGTCCCGTCCGTAGACTGCGTGTGTTCATGTATTGGAAACGTCCGTGCGTGCGTGCACACACTCGCGTTTCTTCGCCAGATGCTGCTGCATGCACACGTTGCACGTTCGGGTTATTTGGTCAGTGGCAAGGCTAGTTAATTATTGCTCCGCTCCGCTCGGCGCTCCGCAGGCGAATAATCTACTGACCGATAGGAGGTACGTACGTACTCCCTGAATAAAAGTTATTCTCGTTTTCCGAGAAACCAGTTTTTTTAAACTTTGATCAATTATATATAAAAATATTAATAATTATAATATATAATTACTATCATTTAGATAGATCGTTGAATATATTTTTATAATAAACTTATTTGGAAATATAAATATTACACGTATTTTTTATAAACCTAGTTAAAGTTAAAAAAATTTAACTTGCACGCATCTCATAACATCATCTATTCCGAGACGGAGTACATGAGTGCTGCGAGATTTTTGGTTGAAAATGCGCGCGTCAGAGAGCTCGGAATCGGCGATTAAACTTATCGCTGGGCAAACGCGTGTCAGGCGCGGCGAGACCGGACCGGCTCCTGCCGTCGCCGCCTTTCATGGGCTGCCGGTGGCAGCCGCCATGCGGCCCTGGTGACTTCCCGGGAGGCAGCATGGCTGGTCTTGGTCGCGTCGCGTGTGCACGAACACGGCTGCAAGCGCGGACGTTATGGTTTTTTTTTGCGGCTCCTCAATTCGCCACGGCCCACGGGTCTCTCCAACGGAGACGGCTCGGGTCGAATTAGTTGCTGGTTCACTCCGACCCACCAAAAAGGGCCCAATACATGGGGACGGGCCTAATTCATTTGTCGGTCTGGGTCCAACTCGCGGTGGGCTGGAATAAGCGCCCGTGCAGTCGCCGGCCGGCCGGACACGCAGCGCGTACGTGAGTGCTGCGAGTGTTGCCGACTCGAAGAGTCGAAGTCGACTCTTATCGCCCCGCAGGCAGAACCGAAGGCGGTCTCCACTCTCTAGAGACAGCCGCCGCCGCCGGTGGTTCACAAGCCGCCGCTACTCCACCAAGCCCCACGGAGACGGAACCCAAATTCCAACCCGACTCCTCCAGCCAGCCAGCAGCCCAGGCGGCGAGCCGAGGGTCCTTGAGCTCCCTCCTCGCGCATGGCGTCCCCGTGGTGCCTCTCGGCTCCGGCCGCCGCCCCGCCGGTGGCGGCTGCGCCGGGCGCCCTCGGCGTCTCCGCGTCGGCTTCCTCCGACCTCGCGCGTGTGCCGGTTCCCGCCGGTAGGTGGCGCAGGTGGGACGCGCTCGTGGTCTGCGCGGCGCCCGACGAGGAGAAGATTACCAAGCGGTCGCCCCTGGATTTCCCCATCGTAATTCTCTTAGCTCTTCAACTTACCTTCAGTTCATTTAATTTTAACAGCTTGTCCTGGTGAGATTGGAGGCTTAATTTTTGGGTCAGTTAAGCTGACCAAGCACCGGTTTAGGGATTGGGGTAGACAAAAGCGGTAGAAAAGATACATAGGTTGTGGTGTGGACTACTTACTTATGCTTTAGCTTCAGATGTGGTTTCGGCCTTCATCTATTTTTAGGTTTTTGCCATTTCGTATATGTCTGGCGAAGATACCCCTGCGAAAATGATAATTTTTATTTAAGCTTACTGATTTATTATGAATGTGATAATTTCATCTGTCCAAACATAAACTTTTATTGCCATAGACTTTCTGGGGTAGTAGCTTGTTGTGCTAATAGATATCTGGAGCTTCAAATTTATATTCGCTCCTAAATACTGACTGTACACTATTTGGCAGCTGCAGCTGCTGTGGCCGCATGTATGCACTACTAATCTACAATATCTCTTAGTTTACATTTGTGCAACAGCAGCTGCAGCTGCAGCCTGGTAAGTGCAGCCGAGCAGTGTGGTGCCTTCAGAATGTGTAGCTTCTATATATTCTTTTCTTTGTAATAGTCTTCCATTATCAAAGTGATAGAATGCTGTGACGAGCAGTCACGACCTGTTTTTGGTGAACTCACTGCCTTAATTTTTTAAGGCCAGACTATGTAAATGGCTTCATGACTGTATGTATTACATGTTGTGATATATGAAGATAGGCATTTCTTGGTAATGGTTTTCTTTTATAACCAAAGTAGGGAACTAGCGATTGCAGATCTGTTGCAACTTTTTCAATGATTATTCTAGCCGTTGGTGTGGTCGTGTGGACGATCTGTCCAGCCTAGCAAAATAATGTTCAAACATGATAGGGCTAGGGAACTGGATGGTTTATTGATGATCTGGGATTATTCAACAATGGCTAAACCGCAGCAATGGCAGCAGCAGAGCCAGATCGCCCTCTCATGGAGGCTCTGATCAACAGTACTCTGCTTCTACTTACCCCTCACAATCAGCTGGCCCTTAGTTATATCCCCTAATGACCGGCTGTACACTAGCAAACCTGCTAACCAATCTTCTATTCTTACTCTCCAGATCCAAACTTGTAGCAGCAGCTCCCCTAACAGATAACTATGGCCCAGAATCAGCCACTAGAGCTGGCGCCCTCTTCTTCTTCTTCCTAGTGTACTGCTTTCCAATGAAAGCGTCCACAACAAAACATGACTATAGTGATTTAGATATGTTCCATACACTTCTTTTCGCTTCAATATATTGACATCAAGATTAATTTCTAATGTTGTTTGAATGTTGCTAGGAATGGGAGAGACCAAAGCCTGGAAGGAGACCTGATATCTTCCCTAAGTTCAGCCCAATGAAGACACCATTACCGCATCCATTACCGGCTGATGATCCTCTAGATGACGATGAAGAAGAGGACGAGGAAGAACAACCACCACCTCAGGAGGAGCCACAAGAGGATGATCCAGACAGGGAAGAACCTGAGGAAGATGACCCGGACAAGCCAACCGAGTAATTTTCAAATGGCTTGAGGTGTGGTAGATATAGACAGTGGGCAAAGATGTGCTACATCTTTGGAGCACGCAAGAGATCTCAATTCTGTTTGAACTGTTTGTTCTGCCGGCTTATATAGGCTCTAGATGCATAAGTTTGTTATGACCTCCTTTGAGCTTTTCTAAAGCTATGAAAGTTTTGTTTTACGAATTACAGATTACAGTGTGATATCTGTGATGGCATGTATTCTCACTTTTTCTATCTTGAAGTAAGTAGCTTGTACATTGCAACAAGACGACTGCAATTATGTTATTCCAAAACCTGTCTTCAGTGTATTTGACATGGTTCTTGAAGTTAGCTTGTTTAGTTGCATCGTTGATTTGTGTTGGGTATGCATAAAATGAGCGATGCACCATTTTGCGCTTCTGAACTACTCCATCCGTCCCAAATTAACTGTCGTTTTTTGTTTTCGTGCTATAAGTTTAACTAGATTTATAGAAAATACGTACATCATTTGTATCTTCACATAAATTTATTATGAAAATAGATTTAAAGATCTATCTAATGATATCAATTGTGTATTATAAATATTAATATCTTTTTAGATAAAATTAGTTAAAGTTATTTCTCGAAAAACGAGAACAATAGTTATTTTGAGACGGAGGGAGTACGCCTGAATGAACATTTCAATTTTGGACGGTACATGTTTACATTTGAAACTGAAGACTGGAAGTACAGTAATCAATTTTGGACCGGTGCATGTTTCACATTTGAGCAATTGAGCCTAAAGACTGATTTTCGATCAGATCGTTTTGTATCATGTGCCTTTTACCTAAGTTCTTCATTATATTCTGCACGGTTATTCAAGTTTCTATGTGCCCTTCACATAAGTTACTCATTGTATTTTGCATGTCTATTCGAGTTTAAAAGAGAAACGATCATAAAGCGACAGTAAAAAATCGGTATACTCTATTTCCTTGTCAGTTTTGTAGTGTTCATGAGGGCTGAAGTTTAATACATACAGGAAACCTACAAAATTTCTCTCCCATATGTAGGAGCAAACAGCATAAATAACGCTACTTTTGTTAAGCACACTGGCCCCTGAATGAAACACCAAGTCACACCCAACGTCTACTCCCAGTCGATCCCACTAGACATCATCATCTACTTTCCTTTGATCTTGCAGTAGGCATACAATCCAGAGCCCAGAAACCCTAATCCCTGACCGATAACATTAAGCTGCATACGAAACTGGGGTTCAGTATTCACGGGAGGTTATACAAACATAAGTGGCACATAAGAAACAAGCCCAAAAACTTACAAGATCAAAAGGAAGGCCACCAAATAACACCCAACCAATTCCAACGGTGAAGAAATCCTGCAGAAACAGCGTAACATGAATATCACTACTCAAAAATGGTTTGTATGTTGGCCTATACGGTTGAGTGGAATAAGGGCCTGTTCGGCAGGACTGAAAAATACTGTTTCGGCTGATTGTTGTGAGAGAAAAATACTGTTCTGGCAGGACGTGAACAGTGATTTTATGAGGTGGCTGGCCAGCCGGCAATCAGCCAGCCAGCCAGCCGAACACGGCCTAACTGGATGGCAGCTGTACCTTCAAGTTTCCACACATCGTTTGTGTGAGTGCAGAATTCAGGATTGTGTTCCAGAAGATAGTGTAGTTCAGTAGAAATGCTAAGATGCACGAAAATAGCAGCACGGCCTACAAGTGAAATTTCATTATTAGTGACATTCATAACTTTATTGACATTACATGATATAATGGAATACTACTTGGCATTACTCACTATTTCGTTGTCTACCTGTTTTGAGTGTTAAATTAGTATGAAAAATAAACAAATTATCATGTAAAGTGACCTGAAGATCATCTACAGCAGCTATACTATACACTAGTAATTGGACTGAATGAAAGAATTTTGAGGTTTCAAACTGGAGGCACTATCAATAGGTCATCGTAATAGTATTATGGATAATTGTTGCTAAATTAGAACATGATAAATGATATTAAAGGACTAGAGGGTGGTTTTATCAAAATTATCAGCACCAGCAAAACTTGACTTGGGTGAGAGTGAGTCTCTGTGACTACACACAAGGTAGTGCTCATGTGCTTCAGTAACATGTGCAATCCAAGCTAATTTCTAGACTTGACCGGATCTCAAAGATAGTGAAACAAACAGAACAATATCTTGCAAACTAAACTTCCAGCTGCAGCATGAGTCCAAGGGATAACTGGCTAATTGACAGTACAAGCACACCGATGAAGATAATTAACATGACACATGGCTTTTGAATTTCGTGACGTGCATCCACAGTCTTTAAATGCCTACTAAAACTGACAAAAGCATGCACAAATTAACTTAACCATGAATCTAGTGTTACCATGAACCCAGGGGAATAAAGGTAGGGAAATTCCATGGTCCTCTTTAGGTCACCCTGAATATATGTCAAGAACAGTACTGAAGGTCCACAGACAAGTCCTGAAATCCAGACAGACAGGTTATAAGATACAACAACAACAACAACAACAACATAGTCTTTCAGTCCCAAGCAAGTTGGGGTAGGCTAGACAGGTTATAAGATGGTAAGATATAAGAAGATTGGTCTGAAGTTAAGAGCAATCAAATAGTGTTCGAGAAGAAAAAAGGGCAATCAAAATAATACCATTGCACCACATCAGGCCAAAGCTATTGAGGCCACTAGATTTTCCTAGGGGAGGAAAAAGAACATCTGGTCAGAAGGATTTTGTACGGTCAAAGAACATTATATGTTGGAAAGGAAACTGCTTTACCTATACGGTTGATAGTAGCAAGATAAACAGCTGTCGTAATGTTGGCCACAAAGACAATAGCATACCCACGAGCATCAAATGACAAGTCTCGAGCTCCAGCAACAAATGCACCAAATACAATCAAAGCCACACTGATAAAAAGCTTGGTTAACAACCAGATAGTGGAACATTATAGATTCAGAACAGTACCAAGTTTTGAAAATGTTCAGCATAACAAATGCTGTATCCAAAGAAAAAGGGTACAGGTACAGTAGTAGGTACAGAAACCTATTACTACTGGATGAAACAAATATAATCATATAATCAAAGGCTTATACAAAATCGATAATTTGTTCAAATACTTATGTTTGACACTGCCTAGGGCATAAATGCATTAAACGAAATGAAACTCTTAGAACTGTGTACTGGTAATAATAAGAAACAGCGAACAGAACAAATATCCATATATTTACCTGCCTATTATAGGTGGGGTGTGCTTCTGCTTTGCCAGAAAATACTCCATTGTCATTGTAAACACGACTGTTGTGCGCCGTAGAGTTGTATACATAGGGACGTTAACTCCACGGACCGATTCCATTGAAGCTAGCTTTTTACCCAAAAAAAAAGAAAAGAAAAGTAAACACCAGTGAGAATTCAACATGAACAGAAATGCATGTGCCTAATTATTGAACACATTAATCTTGTAAGGGAGTCAGTATACCATGTAGAGTAAATAAGCCAAGGAAAGAGGTGTGGTGCGCAACAACATCCTAAATGGCACAAAGAATATTGAATCAGAAGGCACTGATGGATCACTATTTGTGAAGGAGATGATCTTTAACCGTCTCAGAACATAAAGAAGGCACGTTGAGCACACCATCTGCACATGTTTGTTAAGTGTTAACAAAGAAAGGAGAAATACACAAATGATAGAATACAAATGTAAACCAAGAAGTTTAGCCAACAGACATCCAAAGGCAAAGGAAGGTTTTATAAAGCTATGTTCCATCAACAGCTACCGAAAGATTTGGGATCCACTATTTCCCAGGGATGATAAAAAGTGAAGTATTTGCGGCACTTCAAGCAAGACTTGGAACATTATTGAAATAAGATTAAAGGCAGTATTTGTTGATATTTGGAACTATAACATGGGACAAAATTAAATATTTTCAATAACAAATTGATTACAAAAATATGTACGGTCACCCCCCAAGTATTTGTTGATATTTGAAAATGTAGATGCTGGGCTTGAATTTTACCAGCTCCTCCAATTTACCACTATAAATGAGGATCCCACCAAGTCCTCAACAGATTACTGTTAATCAGTTCAAATTAAAAATTTGCACTTACATTTTAAATTTAGAATTTCCTGGACAGGATTTGTTCTCCTGGTATCCAATGGAAAAAACAGTTACCAGTGGAAACTGAACCCTGGACTAGACTAATCACAGACCCATACAACACTGAAAACTTGAAAGAAATTGTTTGCTAAGAATTCGATGGAACACAGACATGTAACTTTCACGTACTCCATCCAGAAAAGTGCATGAACCATGCACGCCACAGATTTTCCCAGAACACATCCAGTACCTGAAGGAGCGTGATGACATTTGCACAAGGGAAACTATATGAAGACAGAGCTGCTTTGTTAAACATCACTAGCAACACTGCAAATTGAAAAGTATCAAAATTAGGACAACAAATGGGTTCTGAAAATGGAAAACAAAACAATAACACATCATATCCCTGTGGACATTGGTTATTTGGTTACCATGCTTCTAGAGCTAAAAAAGATGGCATCACAGAGTGAATCATCAAGGAACTCAAATGAATGTATGGGTATAAACTAGTAGCAGATTAACAGTGTGTACAATAATTTGAGGCACACAAGTATAACATGTGGAGACAACATAACTAAATATTGCATTGGCACACTGCACATGTTAAGGAGAATACGGAACAAACAAAACAATGATCAAGAAACCTTTTTTATAATTATTTTTCCTTGCTCAACCAGATGGTTGATGCAAATACACGATCTATCTAAATATTTAAAAGAAACAACAGAGATAAACCAAAATTAAGGTGAAACGATTCAAGTAAAACTGACTACCATGCATTGTGCAGAACTCCTTCAACTGGTATTATCAGCAGAACACAAGTGAGTTCCAGTGCAATTTTAGTCATGAATGCAAAACGGGGTATCATTAGTAAGTCCAACATAACCAGTCCAACTACAGTAACCCGTTCACAGTTCTCCAACCTCCAGTAAGCACATATAAATGGAAGATGAGTTTAACTGTGCAATCCAAACCTCATTCATCACTTAACAATGACTCAAATCTTCCACACCAATTTTTCCCCCTAAAGTGAAAATGGTTTGCTGATTTTCCTCAGTAGGACCACCTTCCTTTGTTCCAATTTTGTCATGCAACTAATGACAAATGGGCAGGTTTCAGTTCAAAAGGCTAGCTAGCTAGATAGTTAGATGAGGACAATGATGTATCTATTCTATTAAATGGTTATTCTTATCCAATTGAGCCATCATCCAAACAGGGAATTGAAGCAATTTACATCCTATCATCAGCACCAAACAATATATAGTACATGAGATAACAGGGAACCATCACTCTTCCTGACAGGCCCTCTCCTCTGTCTGATCCAAATTCATACATATGCCACCTAGAAACCTTACTTTGTTATTAAATGGCGTATTGCTTTCTAAATCCTATTCCAACAGGGTTCTGTGGTCATGTTCCCCTACAAGTGTGCCCGAGCAATAAGCATAGGCCCACTCCAAACTCCAAAGGCAGCACAGTAGCCCCATTTGTAACGACCAGAATTCAGCTAACACTAGGACAGTATGTCACAGATTCGTCATGATGGAAAATTCAGTTATCTGTATGAAATAGCCAGTTCCTACTTACATATAGAATTTCATAAACATGTATGAAGTATGTACTTTGTACGTTGCGTATAACCCATAGGCAACAGAACTACGAAAATGGTCTCTCTTCCCAAAAGTTCGGTGGTGTTGGCAAAAGCCGAAAGACCAAAGCACGAGTCAACCATCCTGCACGAACTCCAAAATCACGTAGCTGAATTCAACAGAAAACGTGACGACTAGCACAAGCAACAAGTCAAACACGTGATGCAGGTGCTCTCGCGTCCCCAAATTCCCTGAACGCGACGAACGAAACAACCCACCCGATCCCGAACCGCGAGCAGTCCACGCGGCGGCGCGACCGCTGCAGAAACAAGCAAACCAAGCCGCCCGCCCGGGAGGGAGGGAGCGGATCGGGCGTAGCGCGTACCGGAGCATGCCATGTAGGAGAGCGCGGCGGCGGCGCCGCGGCGGGTCATGGCGGAGCCCTTGAACAGCACGGCGTCGTCGCCGCCTCCCCCTCCGCCGTTGCCCTTCCCGACGTCCGCCGAGACCGGCAGCAGCGCGCCCCTCTCCCCGCCGCCCTTCGCCATCCCTCCGGCCGCCGGGATCTCCGCTCCCCGATCCGCCTCCTCGCCTCTACCGCCTGCTCCGCCCGCCCGCCCGCCCGCTAGCACGCCGAGGCCGAGGACGAGGAGCAGCAGGCAGGAGGATATTTCTGTCCCCACCACCCACTTACTTGGCCCTGGCCCCCGATGCAGCACGCGACGGCAGAACTGGCCGTTTTGTGCGCCGCGCTGGAAACGGGTGCGGGGTGCGGGGTCGTCCGTCTCGTCCTCGCCTCGGCTACTGACTGGCTCGGCGATGCGGTCGCCGGTCAGCGACCCCGGGTGCGGGACTGGGGACTGCGGATGCGGAAGCTTCTGCCCGGCCGCGCCCGCGCCTGCCAGGCGTGGCCAGCGCGGCAGCCGCCTTTTATTGGAAGCGAACGGGCGGGTGCGCGCTTTGGCAAGTTGCCGGTTGCCGCTCGGTGCCTGGCCTGCCTCGCGCGTCACGTTGCGACTCGCGACTTGCGTTGCTTCGCGGCGTTGGACCGTTGGTCACATCGCGATCGCGTCGGGGTCACAGCATCGAGCGAACTCGGCCAGTGGATCAGTGGACGATTGGGGAGAGGGGGTAGGAGTAGTACAGTACAGCCGGGTAAGCGTGCGATGTCACCACCGGGCACTCACGAACCGGCTAAAGTTTAGGATGTGCGTGGCACGTGGAAGTGTCGATAGTAATAATAAAATAAATTATATAAGTCTTTAGTAATCTACCGAGATAAATTTATTAAATCTAATTAATTTGTCATTAGCGTATGCTTACTGTAGCACCATATTGTCAAATCATGAACTACTTAAGTTTAAAAAAATTCGTCTCGCAAAATAGTCACAATCTGTATAATTAATTATTTTTTAGTCTATATTTAATACTTTATATATGTGTCAAATATACGATGTGATATGAACTAAACCTTATGGGAGAAGCTAAACAAGAAGCTAATCCTCGGCTAGGGGATGAGATCCAGCGATCCACCAGCCGGAATACGGTGGCGCTCGGGTGTCGTTCATCCGATGGCATACCTCCGATCTGCGCTGCCCAGCCCAGGGCTGCAGGTTCAACGGATCGAGGATCTAGATTGGCGATATGATTCTTCGCGTCACTCATTTTTGCGAAGTAATTGGAGATATCATGTGCTATTTTTTTCCACCTTATTACATAATTGCATGTTGAGATTACACATACAGCATGTCCGCCGTTGCTTCTTAACGCTAAGTATTAAGAGCACCTTCAAGAGTTTGTTAAATTTTATTTAGCAAATCTTGTGATTTGTCAACTCCCAAAATCATATGTCAAGTAAAAAAACAATCTATCTTACTACATAGAAAACGATTTTTAGCAACGGTTCGATTTTTTTGTAGGGGCGGCTGGTGATGGAGCCGCCCCTACAGTGACGTGTTCGGGTGTCCAGACACCAGCCGCCCCTACAAATGGAACAAAGAGATGCGGTTTGGTGATACTGAGCCGCCTTACAAATGGCGTCTCGATTTTTAGGAGGGCTAGGCGGCTCAATCACCAAATCGCCCCTAGAAATGGTATTTGTAGGGCGGTACCGGTGATTGAGCGCCCTAAAAATATACCCCAGATTTATAGCTCTATTTGTAGGGGCGGCTCAATCACCAGCCGCCCCTACAAATGGCCCCCATATAAAACTGAAGCAGCATCTTCTTTCTTCTCGGGTCACTCACTTCAACCCATGAAAGAAAGGTAGGGAGGTCTTGGGCACCTCCCAAAAATTGCTCTACTAAGGGGGGAAGGTTTTGGTCTCAAATCCTTTGGTGGAGAGGTTGTAGAAGGTAAGAAAATGCTATTCCACACTTTTTTTTTGAAGTTTTAATGGTTGGTTAGTGAATAATTAGAGTTTTGTTTTTCTTTCTCTTCTATGGTGCTTGAGCTATTTATGAGCAAATTAGACCTAACTTTTAAATATACTAGGGTAAATTAGGAAGGGGAACAAGATCATATCCTTATTTGGTCCATGTTTCTTGATTTTAGTGAACCATTAGTTAGTTTTATGGATGTTTCATGTGCATGTGATCTAGATCTAGGGTTTGATTTTTTTATTAATTTCATTTTTGTAAATTTATGTTTGATAAAATTGGACTAGGGTTTGTATGAAAGATATTGGGTAAAGTATAATTATTGCTAATTGTTGTCTTTGAAATTATTTATTGTAATCAATAAATATGTATTTTAATTATTTATGGATAAATGTGCCATTAATTAATTTTCCTCTACCATGGTGTGTTTGTATGCTTCATGTAATTATATTAGATTTATATTCATATATATCTGAGGTATATACAATTATTCTCAAATAATTATTACTTTGATTAATTTTTATATATATCTGAATAAGTAGTCTTTTAATGTTTGTTTTGTTGTTGTTGTAAAAGATAGAGTACAGGAACTCTTGATGTACGGTTCGTTAAGGTTCAAGGCAGGTTTTCGTAAAGAGGTGGATAAATTTATTGAAGCCGCAATGAAGCATGCAACGACATTGAAAGAGAATAATGATACAATTATTTGCCCCTGTAAAGATTGCAAGAACCGTATGGCATGGACAAATGTGACTATCATCATATCACATTTGATTATACGAGGATTTGTTGAGGACTACACAGTGTGGATTCATCATGGTGAAATGGTTATTGTTAACAACGAGGATGAGGAGGAATACGACGATGAAACTATAGAATCCCTGTCCCAATATTCAGCCGAGCTTGATGCACAAATGGATTTCGAGTTTGGCAATGAACAAGGTGGTGATGCTGGTGGTTGGGATGGTAACGACGAAGGTGGTGCCAATAATGATGGTGGAGCACGTGTCGGAGTTGAAGATGATTTAGATGACATGATTCGAACCCTTGGACCAGAGATTTTACTAAATAGCTCGAAAGGTTTAGAAAATTTGGAAAGAGTGATAAAAGCATCGAAGGAGACTGTGTATGGTGTTGAAAAGGGTTGTCCGACACATTGGACATTGCTACATTTCGTGCTTGAGCTGCTCATCCTAAAGGCTAAGTACGGCTGGTCAGACTGTAGTTCCAATGATCTATTGCATCTCCTATCATGGGTGCTGCCACAACCAAACTCAGTTCCCGCCAACACATACCAAGCGAAGAAGGTCATAAGTCCATTGACAATGGGGGTTGAAAAAATACATACATGCCCCAACAACTGTATACTTTTCGTGGTGAAACGTTCAAGTCATTGGATAAATGTCCCCGGTGTGGGACTAGCCGGTACAAGAACAATGACCTTTACGGTGGGGACAAACCATCCACGGGGAAAAAGAGGAATAAGATGGGTACAAAAAAGGTGGTATAAGAATCTCAGCCCCTAGAGGACACTCCATTAGGCAACGATGCAAAGCACAGAAGAATTCCTGCCCTGGTAATGTGGTACCTGCCAGTGACCGACCGCTTGAGACGTATGTTCCTAAACCCTAAAGAAGCCGCACTCATGATATGGTGGGATGATGAGCGCAAGGTGGATGATGATAAGATTGCACACCTGGCTGATTGTAGTCAGTGGCAAAGGTTTGATGAGAAGCACAAAGAATTCAACGATGACCCAAGGAATGTACGGTTTGGCCTGAGCACCGATGGAATGAATCCCTTCAATGAAAGGATGAGCAACCATTGCACATGGCCAGTGATCTTGACCATGTACAACATCCCAACATGGTTGTGTCAGAAGAGAAAGTACCTTCTCCTCACTATTCTTATTTCTGGCCCTAAATAACCAGGCATTGATATAGACGTGTTCCTCGAGCCCTTTATGCAAGAAATGGAGAGACTATGGAGGCATGGGGAGCAGATGTACGATGCGTTCCGAAAGGAGGACTTCATATGTAGAGCAATAATATTTGTTACTACCAATGATTACCCCGCGCTGTTTGCTTTGTCTGGACAGATCAAAGGAAAGACGGGATGCTTGGTTTGCTTGGATGGTACTACATGGGTGTACCTAGATGCATCCAAGAAGATAGTTTACCTAAGGAACCGACGCTTCTTAAAGACAAGTCACAAGTACCACAGCAAATTGTTCTTTAGATTTTATGACAACGCCCCAGAGATTAAACCCCCTCCGGAGAGATGTCATAACGGAGAACATGTGGACAGAATGGTGAAAAACATACGCGTCGTCTATGGAAAGAAGAATCTGGATGGGACGAACAAAGATAGAAGCACACCTCCTATCGAAGGCGTACCTTTCAAGAAACAATCGATCTTCTTTCAGTATCTGCCTTATTGGCCAGACTTGGAGGTCTCCCATGCCATTGATGCTATGCATGTGCAGAAGAATATCTTTGAGAGTCTCATTGCTACCTTGATGGACACAGGCAAGTCAAAGGATGGTCTGAAAGCACGGAAAGACATGGTGCAGCTAAACATGATGCCACAGCTTCACCCGGTACTTGAGGCTAATGGAAAATACACTCTGCCCGTGGCGTGCTTCAACCTAACACCAGACGAGAAGAGAACTATATGCACTTTCCCGAGGGGATCAAAGTCCCGACTGAGTTTTCAGCAAATGTAAAGAAGCTAGTATCGATGAAGGACTTGTCAATAACACACTACAAGGCTCACGATTGCCATGTGATGCTGACAGTGTTTCTACCTATTGCAATCGTGGCTATAAAGCCGAGTTCTTGAAAATGGCCATCACCCGCATGTGCTACTTCTTTTCAAAGATCTCACGAGAAGATGATTGGCAAGGATGAGTCGAGTGACCTACATGAATTTGTGTTGGAGACACAAAACCAACTAGAGATGTGTTTACCTCCTACTTTTTTGATATAATGACACATCTCATGATTCACATGGTTCATCGACATGTGCGCTTGGCCCTTGCTACTTGCATGAAATGTGGTCCTATGAGCGGTTCATATCGGTTTTAAGTCGATACGTGCATAATCGAGTATACCCAGAGGGCTCCATGATAGAGGGTTACAAGATCTTGAAGAAATCGTCCGAGTCTTTGT